TTTGTTTTGTTTGTTTTTCTGACAAATTGTTATGTGCAATGTTGTTTACAATACTGACCTTCCTGATGTTGGAGATCAACATTAGCTCATACCAGCTTTGGTGTGAGTGCAAATTAATCCTAATAGATGACTGTTTGAAAACTTTCATCAACCCTTTGCTTTCTCTAATCATGAGTAGAAGTACCCAAACTAGTCTGATTTTAGTGATTAATCCAAACTACAATTTGAAAGCACGGGCAGCAAATATCGGACTGTGAGGTGCAGGGTTGACACGTCCCTTTCTAACCCAATTGCCAGAAAAACAGGCACGAAACATTTCTGCAAACCACACATAGGTTTCATTATTATATAGCTGAACTGTTGACACTTTAACTTTCAACGCTGTGGTTAACCTGTAGTTATGTTCAGGCACAAAACCACTTGGGTAAGGTTAGGACAAGATCATGTTTTGGCTTAAAATATCCAGTTCGGGCGCAAAATCCCAGCAAGAAAAGCAGTGATGTCTCAGTAAAAACAACTTGGACAAATGTTTATATGATACATAAAAATCTACAAATTTAACGACGTATTTGTGGTTTGCAGAAATGTACAATGCTAACATTTTATTCTAGCAACAGAGCTGCCCTTTTATCCCCAGTTCAAACAATGCTTTTTCTAAGAGGAACAAAACTTTTATGACACACAGGTAGAGAAACTAGTGTAGACACGACTTTATAAAGGAGCGAGGTGATGGTAACACAGGGAACTTGGCTGTAGTTTGTAGAATTGGCATATACATTACACTAGTTAACAAACCTATCAGCCACAATCTCACTCAACAAGCTCACTTGGAGGAATTTAAATGATTATTATTGGCAGAAAAGTGTCTTTTAGCTCACCAGGCCTCAGCACATGAGCCAAAATGTTAATTTTGGACACTGGCTGTGAGAGAAGTAGTAAGAAATAAAGAAAAAATAGGTAGTTAAAGAGAGAGTAGGATGTCAGAGAGAAAAATATGAGAACATAAAAATGAAAAATATTCAAACCTAAAAAGAGCTGAAAGATTTTTACATTAACTCCGAAAGTAATCACACTAAAGTACAGCAAGAAAACCCTTCACTGTGTTGTCATCGTTGAACATCGCTGTGTGAGAAGTGCGATTCAGGATGAGCGAGAGTCAAAAATGCTGATATGCTCCTCTACTTGCCATATCATCATCACCGAGTTGCCCGGCCATCACGGATGGACGAATATAAGCTGACGGTCTGTCATAGTTAGTGTGCACAGCAGCACAGACTATTCCTCTAGACAGACCTGTCTCCCTTGCAGCTAGTGTACATAATATAAACTATATTTAACATTCATTCGAAATGACTCAACATTCCCACGCTTTCGGTTACTTTGCTCAGACCCACATCACTTTGACTCACTTAAATTAACTGGAAACAGGATTAAAATTGAAATCAGTGGGAGTCATCTCCATTTTAACTGACATAAGTTTTTATTTAATAGATGTTAATCTTCATGGCTCACATATAGCTGCTGCCTGCAGACATTATATGACACACACTGCTCTGTTACTCAAGGTCACAGGAGAGTGGAGAGACAACAGGACAGGGAGGCTGACAGAGTGGGGGAGCAGAGAGAGGACTCCTGGCCTTGACGATACAGAAGACATACAAACATATAGATGCATATAACGAGAAATTAAGTACATTTTAGATGTTTTTCTGACATTTTCTTTTGTAAAAATAAAACATGCAAGTAGTATTGTCAGTGCTGTAGCTGCATAAGTGCTGCTTGATGACATAACAGATTAGAGTCTTGCCTCTTGTTTCTAGCTGTGGGAAGAGAGCTATTTTGAAGCTAACATATTTTGACTCACAATGCTTTGCAGGGAAACAGAAATAATGCGTATTTATTTATTTCAAAGATTAACCTGCACAAGAAAATGTATTCCTGATGTAAAAATCACAACAGAACTAAAATCCCATATGCTGTTTGCATTTATTTGTCACTTTAAGAAGTTCCATGCACTGGCAGAAACTGCTTACCATGCAAATACTCTATATTTGTATATATCTGTGTCGAGTTCCTGTGAGACCCACCCCTCAGCTGTTGGGTTGGTAATCCTAACTCCTGAACTCTACAGGCCCTTCACCCAAACACAGAGGTGTATGTCAAAAAGACAAACTATGAGGACACAAACAGATTCAAACAACTGTTGACCTGTTTGGTCCCTGAAGTGGCTCTGCAGGTAATCTGTGTGATTTAAGATTGTGGGAAAAGTGATTGCCTGACAGTGTCAGCAGAGGGATACTACCTCTGTCATAATTCTCCTCCAGTTTTCACACAGAGACAAGATCGCCATGGAAACACATAATCTACTCTTTCAGCTAGTGGAGGAAGAAGGTGTGAATATGGGACACAGGCACACTCGTACAGTGTCTATTATCACACGCATGATTTAAGCTCAACATCAAGCTCTTCTGGAAACAAATCAAAATTATTTTGAAAAATGATCTTATTATATAACCAAACGATTCCTGGTTCTTCAACACACAAATAATCAAAAGAAAAACATAACATCAGGTCAAAAATCAATGCAGAAGGATTTGAGTGGAGAGAAGAAGAGCTGATCCAGTGGGACCAATATTTAAAAACACTACAGTCCCTGAAGTGTGACTTCTGTTGGCCGTTTGCTGATGATAGTAAATTATACATAATTGGGTTTAATTGCCACACAACAGGTGCGCAGCTCTTGGCTGCTGTTGGTAATTTGTTAACGGGGATGTTTGCTGATGTTCAGACCCTAACTTCTAACCTACATCTTACTGTTCTGCACTGAATCAATCAATCAATCAATCAATCAATCAATCAATCAATCAATTTTATTTATAAAGCCCAATATCACAAATCACAATTTGCCTCACAGGGCTTTACAGCATACGA